AACTTGGGCATGGTTAGGGGTCTTCTCTACATACAAACGCTACCTTTCTGACAGTCTGAGAAAGAGTAGAAGGGGAGGCAAATGCTCAGCCGGGTCCCCCCAGCGCCGGGCTCTCTCCAGGCAGATGATGCACACGCCTGCCGCCCAGAGGGAGGGGCCCCGCTCATTCATTCGCTTTGCTGTAGGCCATTGTCCAAACACGCACAGTTTACCCACTGAGTTGTTCGCGGGCACTTGGGCTCCTACCACTTTGGGGCTGTTCCCAACGGCACCGCCATGCCTGCGGAGTGGCCACACTCCGCGTGTGCACTTCTGATGGAAGCGGGTGCCGCCGCGTTGTGGCTCCAGGATACGCACGTGCCTCGCCTGGATCTGTGTGATCTGTGCCAAGCAACGTTCCCTTGGAAAGAGGCTGTGTTCTTCTCGAATACATACAGCAGCAATACCCAGGTTAGCCGCAGCATGGGTGTTTATCAAGTCCTTCCAAAGCGGATCCCAACTCTGTGAGGTGCATCGAGGGGCAGACACGATCACTTCTGTGGTGTCACAGATGAGGATAAAGTGAGAAGTCGGGTGGCTCGCCCTGAGTCCATCGCTAGTGAGCGCGGAGCCTGAATCCCACCCGCTGGGCGCTGGTGCTGAGGTGAACAGTCTTCGTTCCCATCATTTACCTCTCCATCACTCGCATTGCCTTGTAAAAAATCGGTTTTAATTGCAAGGGGACTATGGTAATGGTTGTTCCACCGCGCCCCGGCTCTTTCCTCCTCTGTTATGACAATAACCCGCTTGCTAAGCGGATGCCCATCTTCCCTGTGTTTGCAGCCCCATTCGGGTGCGTGCCTCCTTGCACTACGATCCTGAATAACTCCGTTGGAAGTGATTTATAGAACAAAGTCAGTGGGAACAGATAGAGGAGTCATCAGCAGGACACTGACCGGCCTGTCTTGTAATTTCTTCTGATTTGCCGCGAGTAAGTTTAGGAAGGCCCGCTGCTCACCCCGGGCACGGGTGGGGACGGCCCTGGGCCCTTGGCCGCCCGCCTGTCCGACTCTTACAGAACTGCGTGCGCATCTGCCCACTGTTTCTGGAACTCTCTTCACCCCACTCGGCCGTGGTTGGGGTTACATGCTTCGTCAGTGAGCGTGCTTTTACAGCATTTCAGTGGCTGCATACGATTCTCCCACAACCTGCTTATGCTCGGAGACCGTTTCCAGCTTCAGGTGCTATGTGGAGCGACGGTGCTGGATGCAAATCTTCCCGCGGGAATGCATTTTTTACGGACATATTTCTATGAATTTTATTAGGATTTCGGTTCCTTGTATCTAAATGCGCCCCGTTGCCTTGCTCCCACCCCAGCCTCCGTGCCGCAGGGCATAAGGGGTCTTTTCTCTGTTCTTTGGCCAGAATTGGTTTTATGATTTAAAACATTGTTTGCCAGAAGATAAATTGAACGCCATCGATGCTTTTGTGGCATTTCTCTGACTCCAGCGAAGTGAAGCATTGGTCATGAGCTCACTGGCCACAGTGCAGTTTGTGAAATGCCTGTTCAAGTCTTTTGCCCATTTCTTGTGGGTGCACTTGTCCTTTAAAAATGTAGTGCTTTAAGGGCGCCTGGGTGGCTCAGTCAGTTAGGCATCTGACTTCCACTCAGGTCATGATCTCGCAGTTCGTGAGTTGAAGTCCCTCGTCCGGCTCTGGTCTGATAGCTCAGAGCCTGGAGCCTGCTTCGGAGTCTTGTCTCCCTCTCTCTCTGCTCCTCCCCTGCTCACGCTCTGTCTCTCTCTCTCTCTCTCTCTCTCTCAAAAAGAAACATTTAAAAATTTTTTTTAAAAATGTATTGCTTTATAAGATTATTACTAACCATTTGTGACATATATTGAAACACTTTCTCCTGGTTTGCCATTTGCTTCTAATTTTGGTTTATGGTAACTTTAACCATTCAGATGTTTTACGTTTTTATGTGGTCAAATATATGAGTCTTTCCTTTTGTGGTGCTTGGAAAGGACTCACCATCCCAGAGCAATAAAATAACTCACTGTGTCCCTGTTATTTTATCTGTCTGGCGGATTTGGGTATACGGTGACGTGAGGCTTCTGAACTTTGGTTCCAACTGCACATTTAAATAATTAGCTGAGGGTCTGGCACTGGTGACCCACGATCGCAGAGCGCGTGTAATTATACGGTTTGAAAGGGATAGAGGCTAATGTTTTCTAGAGATCTTCATCGACAGCCCTGAATAAACTCATTTGTCCGTGTCCGTGGGGTTGGAGACAATGATTTTCCCCCAACCGGAGATCTTTCAGCTACTGGGCAGTGACCCCTGAGGTTGGGGTCTGTCTCAGGGCCACTGCCGCCCCCCACGCGCACACACGAGGTCGCAGACGGAAGGGAAGAGCCCGAAGCAGCGTCCTCGCACGCACGCCCGGTGTGAGTGTGGCCTGGGCTGCGTGGCTGCGTCTGGTGATCAGTCCCCGGGGGCCAGGCGGGCCCCCAGGAGGGTGTGGGCCGGAGTGAAGGCCGCCTCTCACCAGGCGGAGCCGCCTGGGAGGACGCCCCTGCTCGCGACGCCGGGCTGTCCGGAAAAGACCTGACTCGTGGGATTTCATAAATCAAGATGATTTTCGTGTCGAGGGTTGAAAATTGATTAAAATCTGAGCTGTCACGTGTCGTATGGATCCGGGAGGCCGGTCTCCCTCAAGCTGTCTCTGCCAGAGTCCCGGGTATCAGCAGTTTTCCCGGAAAGCAATCTTTCCACGTTTAGCGTCGGTGCAATTACTGTGATGCCGTGGTGGCCGCGGGCCTGGCAGGCGGGGGCTCGGTGACTGGGGTTCGCACAGCTCCCGGCTCCCGAGCACCTTGGCCAGGGGGGACCCGTAGGGCAAAAGCTGAGGCGTGTTGGCCCGATGCCTCAGGACCTCCCTGCCACGGGGGCGGGGGCTCCCACTGACGTCAGATCGCTGGGCCGGGTTTGCGCTGGGGCGGGGGCCTCAAAATAGCTGACCAGTCGCTCTACCCTTGCGCCAGGCTCCCTTCTGCCCCCGATAGAGGTCGTGCGGCGTCATCACCCGCTTCCGTGAGCAGGGGCCTCGAGGGGGGTCCCCGCGTCCACCAGCCCGCGGAGTTTTGGTGACCGTGAAGCCAAGGCCCGGACCGAGTGTGGGCGTCTGGCCCGTGTGCTCGTGCTTGGCCGTCACCTGACGAGGACGGGCCCTGGGCTCCCGCCGGTCCCAGAAGACTAAGGGGGACGGGAACGGGAAGGAGATGCCCCTTCCCACCCGCCATGGGGACGCTCGTTACCCGGCGCCGGGTGACTGACACGCTGCCTGGCTTGGCCGGCAGGTTCCTGGTGCCCGCCTGTTGATTCGGCTCCTAAAGGCTTCGGTGTCCGTGGGCTTCTCTCGTTCCCCACCCCCTTCCTTTCTCTGAGACGCGAACCGAGTGGCAGGGAGCCCCTCCGGGTCCGAGGAGCAGACCCCACAGCGACTGGCGAGCTGCCCCTGCACTCCGGCACCGGGCCGCCCCCTGCCCTCGACCCGCATCCCGCCTGTCCTCCGCTCCCAGCCGAAGGGCTACGGGGGAACGGCTGGGCCGTGGTCCCCGGTCGCGGGGCCGGGGCTCGGGCGCCTGCACGTGTGCAGCGGAAGCCAGAGGGGCTGCCGGGGTCTTCCTTCGGGCGGGGCCCCTCATGCCGCACTCCTGCCGACCCTGCGGATCCTCCGGTGTCCTGAGCGAGGCGGGCAGTCCACACCGGCCAGCTGCCACCCGGTCCTCACCCACACGGGCCCGTCTCCACAGCCGCTCGGGGACACCGAGCCAGGACCCGCATGCCGGCCCGGAGAGGCCACCGGCAGCCTGCCGGCCCCAGGCGGGGCGGGGGTGCCTTCTCAGGTGGCTTCTCCTGCCCCAGCCTGGCGTCGGTGGGGGTCCCGACCTCACTCACCTCCTGTCCCTGGCTGTTCTCCGTACAACAGCCGTTAAGGTAAACCGTCATCCTTTTCGTGGCCGAGGGCTCTCAAGCCCGACTGCGTGTCTGCCCACACAACCCCTGCCCGTTCATCCTCGGGCGGCCTGGGAACCTGTATTTTTCTCGCTGTGGGATTTTGTGGCCGCGTGGACTGCTTGCACACGTAACAAAGTTCCAGACCCACACGGGGCAGCCGCACGCCTCCCAGCCCCTCCCTTCTTCTAGAGCTGAAACGTGTAACATCAAACCGAAGGCTCGCTGGTGTTTGCGAAACCGTATCTCCTCAGTAAATTTTCAAGTTGTGATTTATTTTTCTCCTTCCTGTTTTAAACACACATGGAAAATTTTAGAAGGGTTTCAATTTACAGAAATGCTGCAAAGAGAGGGTGGCGAGTCCCCACGTGCCCCCAGCCAGATGCCCTGCCGCTCCCGTCTTGGGTCACGATGGTACGTTTGTCACAGGGAAGGAGCGTGTGAACCCGTGATGGGAAATGGGCTTTGCTGACGTCCCACTGTCCTCCTTCTGTGCCAGGACCACATGACGCTTGGTCACCACGTCTCCTCGGGCCCCTCTCGGCTGGGACACTCTTGGACTTTCCTTGTTTTTGGCGACCTTGGCAGCTGTAAGGAGGATTGGACCGGTGCTTTGTAGAATGTCCCTCAAGCTGGATTTGTCAGAGGCTTGTCTCACGATGGGGTCATGGCATCTTCTCCGCGGCCTGGCGTGGGCCCAGCGAGCCCACGCCACCCCATCCTGCCCCTTCAGCTTAAACACAGGCTGGCCGGCCTCCCTCGGTTGCAGGTGGCGGAAAACACAACCCGGAAGGTCAGGGCAGGCTGATTTCAGGTACGGCTTGATCAAGGGTTTAGAAGGTGTGGTGCCTGGGTGGCTGAGTCGGTTGAGCGTCCAACTTCATCTCAGGTCATGATCTCCCAGCTTGTGGGTTCGAGCCCCGCGTCGGGCTCTGTGCTGACAGCTCGGAGCCTGGAGCCTGTTCGGATTCTGTGTCTCCCTCTCTCTGTGCCCCTCCCCTGCTCATGCTCTGTCTCTCTCTCAAAAATAAACATTTTATTTAAAAAGGATTTAAAATGTATTGCCAAGATGAGATTTCTCCTCTCTCTGTCCCACCCACATCGGCTCTGTCCTCAAGAACCCATTTCACTGACATGGATGCAGTCCCCGAATCAACCCCCCCCCCAGGGTCACGTGCCCACCCTGGATGGCAGCCAGGCAGCCGAGCCTGTAATACGTGGGCTGGAGGAGCAGCGGTGGATCCCCAAGGCAAAACCAGTCCACCACCGTAAGAGGGGGGCCCCTCCACTAAGGTCTTCTGCAGCGGGGAAGGGATTCCCAGCGGCCCTGGCCCCACTGGGCCTGCAGCCCAGAACTCTGCTGAGGAGGCCACGAGGAGGCAGGGGTAGGACATGTGCCCTCAGCCCCGACCCAGATCGTTACACAGCGTGAGACGCAGCGTTCGCGCCCCCACGATAATTCTCCAGGCGAGTGACGTGGAGCGAGTGGACGTTCAAACGCGGCCGTGGCTGGCCCTGCATTTGGGGCCGAGTGACACGGGGCACGGGCAGGATGGACGAGGCCCGTGTAACCCATCAGGAACCCTTCAGGGAGGTGACTGTTGCTAGGTCCCTTGAATGGTATTTAAGGAGGAAATGAATTTGTGAAATTACCTAAACGTGCGGCCCAATGGACACACGGCGGCCCTCCGGGTCTTCAGCGGGAAATGACCTGGGACTTGGCCGGAGCAGGGCTCAGAGAGTCTGCCCCAGTGGCGGGATGGCAGACGGTGTCTCGCACTTGCATTAAGGCCAAACAATGAGTGGTCACGTTTAGAAAAGGGTGTCACCCGAAAGTGCTCTGTTCCTCACTCACGAAATCAAGGCAGCGAGGCTCGAGCCTCCACGAGTGTCTTAGAAGGCTGCTACCACAGGTGTGGGGAAGAACCTTCTGGAAGAGGGCGCTTTCGCTGCACTTCCCCAAAGTGGAAAAGTGTGAATTTCCCTGGGACACCGGCCTATTAGGAGGCCACAGCGTGACCTCAGAGAAGTGCGGATGGTAAGTACGAGAAATGTCATTCGGAAGGGCCACTGTGGGCTCCCCCAGCCGCCCGCTGGGCTCCCTGACCACTCACCCCTGCGGCCCGCCGGATATGGAGCTGGGTCTGTATGTCCCTGCCCCGCGAGGACGAGGACCGGCCTGCGGGGCAACCTGGCCCAGAGCCTGGGCAAGTGCCAACCCCAGGAGTGGACGACAGGCCATCTCCGAGAGATGCTGAAGTGCAGGGGTGGCTGGGGAGGGACATCGGACCCCAACAGGGTCCCAGGTGGGGGCGTGACGGGAGCTGGCAGGTGTCCGGGGCCGAAGGGTCCGTCAGTTCCATCTTCCCTCTCCACCCGCCCACTCCACCTCTGTCCGTCCCACCCTGCCTCTCCCCTGCCCGCCCCCGCGCCTCTCCCGGAACTTACCCTCTGCAGACAGGGTTGTGAGTCGGTGCCTGGAGCTGGCTACACTGGGGTTGCTCTGGACACGGAGCACTGCCGGTGCAGGAGACTGGCCCTGGGGACCGTCCAGGACAGGAGGGGGCGCTGAGCATGGAGCCTGCTGCGGGGGGAGGAGTGAGGGTCTCGGAGCATTGCCCGGCACTGAAAGGAAACCAAGGGGCGCGGCTGGTGGGGCAGGAGCGCCCTGGAGGCCCCACCACCCTGCAGTCCCGAGTCCTAAACCGCTTCAGGGCCTGTGCCTCCAGGATCAAGGCCAGCAGGGCTTTCCCCCTAGCCCCCCCCAACCCGCCCCGCCTCCCCCCACCCCGCGCTCTCCGCTGCCCTGCCCTCCGACTCCACCCTGGGCTGAGACCCTGCCCTCCTTCCGCCTCCCTCACTGCTGGGCCAGGATGGGCAGTGTGTGACCTGCTGTGACCTACAGGTCTGCCCGGGCTGGTGGGGCAGGGGCGCTTACCTGGGACACCTGGCGGGGGGCTGCAGGAGAGTCTGACCTGTGTTGGCTCAGCCTGCTGTGCGCACACTTCCCGCGTCCAGGGTCTGAGCCGGGGGTCCCCGGTCCCAATCTGGTCCTGGGCCAACCTCGGGGGGGGGGGGGCACATGTTCCTACAGGTGTCCCCTTGGGTGTCCCCCTGACCCCCAGGGCACATGGTTGAAGAATCACGCTCCTGCTGAGCACAGACCTTGGAAATGAAAGGAACAGAGAGCCCAGCCAGTTGGTGGGACCGTGGCGGAACTTGGGCCCTTTTAGTGGCTCAGCGCCCACCCCCACCCAGGAAGGAGGTCCCTGTGTGGCTTGTCCGAGCCCTGGCCCACAGACTCTGAGAGCAACACACGAGGTCATCTTACAACCTGAGTCTCGGTGCTTGTGATGTGGTAGTCATGGGAACAACGTTTGAGGTCTGGGGGCAGGCCCTGGGACATCTGGGGGCTGATCCCGGTGGGCTGTCGGGGGAGGCCCTGGGGGTCTTACAGTGGCATTTGCTAGACAAGCATCTCCTGCAGCAGCCTAGCTGACATCCTTTGGTTGAAGCAAATATTGGCCTTGGGGGCTCACCTCCCTCCAACCTCGCCCACACGTGCTCTGGGTACATGGTGCGTCTCCTGCCACAGGGCCTTTGCACACGTAGGTCTGGCCTTGGGGAAAGCTCCCCTCACCCCGCATGGGTGAGGGCCTCCATTATCCACTGCCCCTGTACCCCAAAACTCTTCCTGTTCCCATCAGGTCTGTGCCTGCTGTTTCCTGCTGGGGACATTATCTGGCACATAATAGGACCTTACTTTGTATTTGTGAATAAAAAGTGAATGGAGTGACATTTATGCGGCCCGAGCGCCCAGTCCCTCCGTGTCTGTGGTTGAACGTGGGCCCCGCCCGCCCACCTGGCCTCCAGAGCTCACGGCCCAGAGGAGCTGGGCCCCCCAGCCTCTCCGCTGCCCGGATGTGACCTCCCCCCACCACGCTGTGAGTCCTCAGTCCGCGGCTGACCTCTTCGTTGAGATCCTGAACCTGAGAATTCTCAAGACACTGCCTTCTCCCCTCTCCCCTAAGACAGCTCACCCCTGGGACGAGAGCTTCCTGCCAAAATCCCAAAGAGCCTGTTTTATAGGCTTCTTTTATTTGGAAGCACTCTCTGGAAAGCTGACCTTTAGGACGCACTTGCCCCTCTACCGTTCAAGGTCTCAAGTCGGCACACATGGGTCGCTGAAGGGAATGTGGTTTGTCACACTGGATCAGGACAGGGGCCCCCTCGGGCTGTGTGACCCCAGCAGGTGTGCCGAGGGCTCTGTGGGGGGCGGGGGAGTTCCCTGGTCACCGGTCACCGCGAAGGTGAGAACGTAACTACCCGTGAGCAGACCCACACTGTGCAGCCGGCCCGGCCCAGGGTCCCCAGAGAGGAGACAGGGGCGCTGAGGCACGGGATTCTCGGGGGCTGCAGAGGGGAGCTCGGGGGTGGCGTGGGGAGGGGGCCCAGACGCACTGGCGGGGCCCCGGGGCAGCCAGTGATCTCATCAGAGCAGATCAGAGGGTTCCACCCAGAGGCGGGCTGGGGTGCTGTGTGTCCGTGACAAGGGGGGAGGGAAGGGGGGCAGGGCTGCCTGGGGGTGCTCTCGCCCGCAGGAGACCCAGGCGGGGGATCCCCGACGGGGGGTGCGGGAGCTGGCAGAGTGGGCTGGGACACGGGTTGAGGGGCGCCCCTGAGATCGCTAGCGGACAGGCCAGCGGGAGCCGGATGCTCAGGCCTTCAGTTGGGAGGCAGGAGTAAGGGTGACGACAACTGGGGGACAGATGCCGGCTGGTGCTGATGGGGGCTGACGGGCTGCAGCTGTGGAGAAGGACAGCCCTGGCCCCAAGGGAACGCTGCCCGGGGGACGTGGCCTTATTCTAGACTCGGGGGGGGGGGGGATGCCCAGGTCCCCCCTGACCTCACTATTCTCCCCAAAAAGGGACAGCAGATCTGGAGGGACTGTAGTGTGTGGGTGGCCCAGGTTGCAGCCTCCAGATGGCCGGTGTGTGGTTTGGGGCCGCGGGCCCTCGCTGTCCCCTCTTCCCGGCTCCTGCTGGTGGGGGCCAGGGAGGGGCCCGCAGGGGAGGTGGGCATCGTAGTGAACAGGCAGGGAGGGGCCAGGTTCACCCCCATCCGGATGTGCCCTCCGAGGCTGGGCAGGTCCTACGGGGGGGCACGGCCCGCACGTGTGTGCGCACTGTGGCTGCCACACCGTCCCCGCCCGGCCGCCACGTGACGGGGATTGTCGTCCGCGTCCACACAGAGCCTCGCCCGCGCTGGCACACTCAGGGGACGCTTTGGCCAAAGGCCATTAAGCTGTCACGCTCCATATGTCTCACGTCCTTCTTCCTGCCCCGTGTGCGTGCGACGCCTCTGCCTCCCGTCTCCTCCTCTGCACTGAGTCACCGCCGTCCGGCCGGACCGCCCCCCAGCTCTGAGCTCACCGGCCCCGCCATCAGCGAGCCGCCCCGGAGCGGCGGCGTGGGGCCGAAGAGACCGGGTCCTCCCTGCAAGGACTCAGCCGGCCCAAGCGGCTGGAGGAGCTCAGAGAACGCGGGGCCGGGGCAGTGCCTCCGTGTGACGACGGAGCGGGGACGAGGTCCGGAGGCCCCAGCTCAGGTTCTGAGTCCGGCCCTGCGCCTCCCGTCCCCACGGCCGTGGGTGTGCCGCTCCGGGCTGCCCGCGTCTGAGGATGCCGGCCCGACGTGTCGACACGAGGGGGCTGATCCCCACTCCACCTGACCCGGCCTCTGCCCGCAGCCTCCCCGCCAGTTGCGGGTCAGCTCCGGCCAACTGCCAGGAAGAGTCCTCACCACCTGCCTGAGCTCCCAGCACCGCCCGGGGGGGGGGGGCGCACCCAGCGGGGGCCCACGCTCACTCGCCCTCGGGCCTCAGAAAGATCTTCCTGCAAGCGTCATGGGCAGGAAACCCTCGAGGGAGCACAGAGGTGGCGTCTCCCACGCGGCCAAGGTGCGGATTGGGCGACAGCCCACCCCTCCACTAATCACAACGGAAATCCACGCAAAATGCAAACGAAAACTTCTGCCGGGGACGCGGTGAAGTGCGCAGAACTTCTGGGTTTTCCCGGCGGCTCTGCCCAGGAGGCGAGGCCCGGCCTCGGGTCAGTGCGGCCACGCGAGAGGCTCTGGTTGTGATAGAAACCCCCCCTTTCCAGGGAGAGAAACAGGGAGAGGGGCTCCTACGGGGGGGGGGGGGGGGAGAGGACCCGGGGAGGGAGGGAGCCGACAAGAGGGTCCCCTAGTTCCGTGTCTGGCCCCGCACCCACCTCAGAACAGCCCCGGAGGGTGCACGTGTGAGGCCCACAGAAGGCGAGGTGAACCCACCTCCATGCCACCAATGCCAGCATCTCCAGAGGATTAAAACAGGACCCGGCATCTATGCAGCACGGCATTCCAGTGCTCATGATGTGAAACAAAATCGCTCGACAGAAACCAGGAAAATGGGGGCCCCCGGGCGACTTGGTCGGTTAAGCGTCTGACTCTTGATTTCGGCTCAGGTCGTGATCTCACAGTTCTTAAGATCGAGCCCCGTGTCGGGCTCTGTGCTGACAGCATGCAGGCTGCTTGGGATTCTCTCTCTCTCCCTCTCTCTCTGCCCCTCCGCTCTCCTCTCTCTCAAAATAAATAAATAAACGTAAAAAAAAAAACAAAACAGGAAAAAGATCAATCCTCAGGAGGAGGGACGATGGATGGCCAGATGCCAGCCCTGGGTATGACCAGGTACTTACAGCTGGCGTCCTGACTGTGTTTTGTGAGACCTCTGTCTCTCTGTCTCTCTCTCTCTCACACACACACACACTGTATGATAAGAAATTAATAAGAATTCTCAGCAGAGGGGTAGGAAACATAAAAAACAAATGAGTATTTTCGAATCCAAAAATGCAAGGTCTGAAACCCCCTGATGGAGTTGAGAGCAGAACAGGGATGAAAGAGAAAGCCAGTGAACTTGAAGATAAACAAAAAAGACCCAATCCAAAGAAGAGAGACAGGAAGTGACAGCTGAGTGGAGGCTCAGGGGCCAGCGGGCACGACCTCAGAAAGTCCAGGCGGAGAGAAGAAAGGTGGGGAAGGGATTCAAAGGAATAGTGGCGGGAAACATCCCCAATTTGGTGAGAGAAACGTGTCAAAACGTTGAAGAAGCTCAGAGAATCCCAAAGAGGATGAACTTAAGAAAACCACATTGAGAAACATAATAATCCCTGAAAACCAAAGAAAACGTCTTGGAGGCAGCTAGAGAGAAACGACACGTTGCAGTCACCGTCCGGTGATTCAGTCGCCTCACGTCGCGGGGATGAGGCACAGGGAAGCGGCGCCTGGAATGCGGAAAGAAAAGCGCTTTGGCCGAGTTTCATTTCCGGTGACTACCTCTTTCAGGAATGAAGGTAAAGATCATCCCAGGTGAAAGAAGCCCGAGAGAATCCCCCACCGCAGACCGTCTGCTCCCGAAATGGCGCGGGGGCTCCCCAGGCTGGTGGGGAGCAGCGCCGGGGAGGGGAGGGGTGGGGGGAGCCGCCTTCACAACAGAAATGTGGTTCCCTGAGTAAACACAGGAGTCTGCTTCCCTCCCCCTTTGAAAAAATGGCCGCACTGCGGCCAGATGGTCAGCCCTCGTCGAGGACACACGGGCGGCAACCGCGAAGGCCAGCGGGGCCGGGGCGGGGGGTGGGGGGACGCGCCGGGATCCGCAAGCCCGCTCTATTTTACAGGAGGGGGTAAAGACGCAGGGTACTGACAGTGAAAATGACAGAAGAAGAGACAGCCGAAACGCCGGCTAATGCCTGACCGTGCCATACTAAGCAACATATTCGTTACAACAAATAAACGAACCCAGAGGAGGGAGGCACAAAACAAAGCAGAAGACGACAGACCTAAACTCAGCCAGTGGATAATTACATCAAGGGTTAATGGGTTAAACATTCCCATTAAAAGGCAGAGACCGGGGCACCTGGTGGCTCAGCCGGTTAAGGGTCCGACTCGTGGTTTCGGCTCAGGTCGTGATCTCACGGTTGGGGAGTCTGAGCCCCGGGTTGGGGGCTCAAATCCCTGCTTGGGATTCTCTCTCTCCCTCTCTCTCTGCCCCTCCCCCGCTCGCACTTTCCCTCTCAAAATAAATAAAACAAGGTTAAAAAAAAAAAAAAAAAAAGGAAAGGAAACAGATCCATTACCCGAAACCCCCTTGAACTAATTTACGATGAATCCCCTTTCTTCCCGGGGCCCGGCATCCACTGATTTGTTGTCCGTCCCTGTGGTTCTGTCTCTTCCAAAATGTCGTGTAAGAGGACCTGTGCTGGACGGGATCGTGGGTCTGGCCTCTTCCAGCGAGCGTGACGCTTTTGTGATCCGTCGCCATGATCACACCCGTCGGGGGCCTGCTCTTTCCTGGTGGGTCGGTAGGTCGCCGCATGGTCGCATGGCCGCCTGCTCGCCCAATCACTCTCAGGACACCGGGGTCCTTTACAGCCCGGGGTGATGCGAAATAGGTCCCCTGCAAACACCCACCTGTGAGTATGTGGGTGAGCATGCCTTCACTTCTCGACTCAAGAGGAGCGGGGCTGTCGCGTGCAGCGCGGCACGTGTGGGCCCGGCTGGGTAAGAAGCCGAACTATTTTCCAAAGGGGCTGTTCCCACCAGGGATGCCCGCGTCTCACGTGTTCTGCATGCCTGTCAGCTGTGGGAGCCAAGCCTGCTTGGGATTCTCTCTCCCTCTCTCACTCACTGCCCCCTTCCGCGCATGCTCTCTCTCTCTCTCTCTCTCTCTCTCGCTCAAAATAAATAAATAAACTTAAAAAAAAACTAAAAACTAAAATAAAACGAACACGAAGTTAGCCTTCCCACGTGTGCTGGCATCTCCACTACGGCGTTAACGTGCGTTTGTCTGATAATTAAGGATCCTGAACATATTTTCAGGTGCTCACTTGCCGCCCATATACCTTCTTGGAGGAAGCGTCTGCTCAAATCTGTTGCTCATTTTAAAAGCTGGGCTGTTTATGACCGAGTTTTGAGACCCCTTTATACATTCGGAATTCCAGTTCCTTATCAGGTAATGGGAAGGGCAAATGTTTTCTCCCCGTCAGCTCCTCTATTCCTTGTCTCAACTGCCACGGAAAAGGCTAAAGTTCTTAATTTTTATTAAGTTCAATTTACAAATTTGCTTTTTTATGGATCACTGCTCTTAAGTGTCATATCTAAAATCTTTGCCTAACCCAAGGTCACAAGAATTTCCTTTTCCGTCTTCCAGGAGTTTTATGGTTGCAGACTTTCTGTTTAGGTCAATGAACCAATTTGAATTAATTTTTGTATGCACTGCAGTGTGTCGGTCAAGATTCTTTTCTTTTCTTTCTTTCTTTTTTTTTTTTCCGTATGAATATCTGATCGTTCCAGCCCCATTTGTTAAAAAGACTCTCTTTTCTCTGCTGTATTGTCTTCGAATCTTCACTGAAATCAATTGACCACGTGTCTGTGGGTCCACGTGTCTATCGTGTCATAAATACCACAGGCTCGTAATGACTGTAGCCTTACAGTAAGACTTGAAGTCAGGTTAGAATCTCCCAGCTTTGTTCTTCCTTTTCAAACCCTTCTTTCGGGGATTGTAGCTCCTTTCCCTTTCCCTGTAAGTTTTAAGATTGGGTTTCCAACTTCCACACAAAAACATTCTGTGCTTTCCCTTTTATTTTTAGTTTTCGGCCTCCCGTTGGATCTATAGGCCAGTTTGGGGGAAACGAACGTGGTAATGATCCATGAACATGGTTCATCTCTCCATTTATGTGCATTTTAGCTGACCTCGATAATAGCGTTTTGTGGTCCTCAACTTACAAAATTTACACTCATTTCATTAGATTTACTAAGTCTAAGTATTTCATCTGTGTTTGGTGCCGTTGTAAATGGTACTGTTTTTGTTAAAAAATTTCTTTCATGTTTGTTTTTGAGAGATAGAGCATGAGCAGGGGAGGGGCAGAGAAAGAGGGAGACACGGAATCTGAAGCAGGCTCCAGGCTCTGAGCTGTCAGCACAGAGCCTGACGGGGGGGCTCGAACCCACAAACCATGAGATTGCAACCTGAACTGAAGTCGGACGCTTAACCGACTGAGCCACCCAGACGTCCCTGTTTTTAAGTTTCAGTTTGCAATTGCTCGTTGCTGGTATACAGACATAGGACTGATTTTTGTACAGAGACTTTGTATCTGGGGACCTTGCAAAGCTCACTTATTAGTTCTCCTAGCTTTTTGTCGGTTCTTGGGGACTTTCGATACGGATTCACGTCACCCGTGGGAAGAGTCAGGTGTGTGTCTTTTCTCCGGCCAATGTGGCGTCCCCCCGGTTCGCCATTGCCTCATTACACTGTCTAAGCCCTTCCACCATTAAAAGCGATGTTAGCTACCGGGGTGCCCGGGGGGCTCAGTCGGTTAAATCCTGACTCCTGATTTCAGCTCAGGTCGTGACCTCATGGTTCAGGGGATTGAACCGTGTTGGGCTCCACGCCGACAGTACAGAGCCTGCTCGGGATTCTGTTCCTCTCCCTCTCTCTCA